GCTTGTCACTCTCACTTACAAGCCATGTCCCACCGCGCTTATAGTTTAATCTGAATTTCAACATCCGCACTCGATCACTATAGTCGTCTAAATATTTCACAACAAAATCATTCATTATTGCCTACTAGTACCAACTGTATTTTAGACATCGAATATCATTAAAATTAACTAAACCGTGACTACATGAAGGTGTACGAGGCAAGATCTGACAAAGACGATTATTCGACCTTTTAACAATGCCAACACACCGAAGTCACCAACTAATCGTACTTAATCCAAAAGCAGAGCTCTTATTCTACTCACCAGGTTTGCTGGTTTCTTCCACCTCATGTCCGCCAAGTGTAATGAAACATAAAGCCGCCAACACAAAATATAGAAATACAGAGTTCAGTCTCATCATTACCATTAGTAATACTCTTTACAGATCCCTCGTTGCTCACAAATTATTCGTACTATAAAATAGCTGTCATGTTTAAATTCACGTTAAAATATACCACCCAACCACAGCTGCACTAACCGTCACGGCCGTAACGACGCCGTCTTCCTTGATCTCTTATTTGTTGACTGAAATCAAAACATGGAGTAAACCATCTTCGGTTCATGCGCATGTCACCAAAGAACACATGAAAGACAAACTAATTCCTCCGTACCAACACCAATCATAAACGTTGAACGCACAGAAACTGCTTAGGGTTATTTATCAATATTAGTATTATAATAGCTTCTAATAATTAGATTATAAATTCATAGTACTAAAACACATTTCTCTTCCTTTGATAATGAAACTCCGACTGGACCGCAATGTATAATCTTTCCATTTATTATCTTTGCATATTTATCAGAAAAGCAACCTCACTAGCAAAGTTTTGCCCGTCAGAGCAATTACATGAGTGACATATTATTAAATTGCAATTAATCTGTAGCTTACGTAAGTAACAGTTAGTGAAAGAAAATATGAATTTATATTTATTTCAAGTTCAATCTTCACTTAATTCCTAATTAGATGAAAAAATATGTTAGATTAGTGGAAAGAAATGTTATTATGTTGGTCGATTGTTCACTTCCTGTTAACTTATTGTTGAAGATCAATTTATTTTTTTTAGGATAGGCATTAACGTTGAGTATTGGACGTTTACGACTGTTAAAACAGTGAGACTTATCAGGTGTTAAAGAACTGTTATGAGATCTATACTGTTTACTGTAACATAATTATTATCCGTATTAAATTTCAGAAAGCATGGGAGGCGATCATGGGCATCACCACAAATATGAAGTACCAGATTACAGAATTTACAAGATTGAAGATTGCCCTAAGTTGTTAAAAGTACAAAAAGCTCTGGAGCAGAAGGGATTAAAGGATCCATGGCTCCGGTTTGTTCATTGTCATTTATAGCACATTTGCATTTTACATATTGTAATAGACTACTATGATAATGCATACAGATGCCTCTTTTGTTTATAACATTTTAATAGGTGTTCTGAGCGAATTCTTAGTGCATTGTATCGTCTTCCGACGGAGATATTGTGTATTAAGCATTGGGGCTAAATATACATAGTTCAGCCAACATTAACAAAACCGAGCCAGGCTGCTTCTGATAAACATTACTATAAATTTCACCTTGCAGTCAGCAATTTTAGTACATTGAGATGTTTGCCATGTATCTGTTCTTTATACAAGCATCACAACTACTAATTATTCAAATGCATATTCTTTCATATAGGAATGAAGCTTGGCGCTTTCATCATTCTTTCAAAACTGAGGGGTACAAAGCAAGGCGAGCCATTTTCCGTGGAATACAGTGGGGATTTGCTGCATTTGTAGTGACTATTGCAATTGAGAAGGTGTGGGAAACAATGTCACCTAGTGATCACAGTCATGTACATCACTAATACACTGTAAAATAGTTATATTGGAAATACTCGTGCAGAATACAAAGTTTTGGGTGTCAGGATAACAAAACATTCACAGATAGTGATTTGTTAATTCAGTATATAATGTTTCATATGGTTCTGTATTTGTTTTTGTTACATATGACCCCCTAAATTTGTGTGCTGTGCTGCAGTTTTGTTTTAAAGTAAAGGACTTTAGAGTAGTCACTTTGGTAAGTTTAATTTAATTATGATTAAATATAAAGCTGTAGTATAAATACAAAATATAAAATAAAGCTGTTATGATTTCAGTGGATTTTTTACACCGATCCCCTACAGATGGTAACCCATGAACCTTGAAAATGTTATGCTTGTGTTAAAATGCTGTATATACACTTTAAGAAATGTAAGTACAAGGGAATTGCAATATAGGGGTTCTTCCTTTGTTTTGCAGGCTGTCATTAATAGCAATATTAATTGTGCCAACATACATGATAATGTGAAAAGTAGAGTTTAAAGTGTTACAGAATAAACTGTGATTTGATGGGGTAACAGTCTGTTGTGGTTGCTGTCTCCACCCATCTCAGAAATAAATTTTAAACTTCCCTAGGATCAGCAGATGCTATGCAGTATCATCAAAAGCTGTCTGTGGGCACTGGAAAGCAGTCAGCAACTATGGTTTAATGAGTGCTCCAGATTAGTAAACAAAGGAAGGTTAGGCTGCAGGTTCACAGCCAAATAGATAAGTAAAGTAAAGCTGTCTCACTATGTGTCATGTAGGCGCTTGGGAGGAGAGGAGGTATAGCTCCTACTTATTCTTGACCTCGGAACCAGATGGGGGTGAGTGTTCAGCAACATGCCCTGGCCGCGCTTTACCCCTGGGATAGGACCCTGGTACCCATTGGATCGGAGGCTGGGTGGGCCCCAGAGCCAGTCTGGACACAGGCTAGAGGAAAAATCCTCTGGCCTGGGATCGAACCCCAGTCGTCCAGTCCGTAGCCAGTCACTATACTGACTGAGGTATGCCCACAGCCAAATAGATGCATGCAGTCAAACCTTCAGAGAACAAAGGAGGGAGTTTCTAAAAGACAAAATCAGTGAGGTACATACTTGCAAAAGTCAACCTACAAACATGGAAATAATGTAAGAAAGAAGCTGAAGACAAATGATATGTATCTCATACAGAAATTTATAAATTGCAATCACCCAACAGTAGAACTCTTTGTTGATACTAAAGGCCTATACTGTAATATGCTCAGAGGGGAAACAGGCAACAGTAACAAAGAAATTTAAAAAGAAAATAGCATTGGTTAATATTAATGTAATTGCATTCACACATTATGATCAGACAAATGCTAAAAACTCCTATGGGCTCCCTTTCCTTAAGGCTTATAGCAGTTTTTCTTCAACACACTGACAAGTATGTACTATAAAATTAGTATACAGGTTAAGTAGATAGTTTTTTCCTTCCAATAACATTGATTCAACAGAAAATAAATTATACCAAACTCTGCTCTCAGTATGTAATTTCTGAGCTATCGCAAGAGGCTGCACACGAACACAACACAAAAAAATACATAATTCTTTTGGATATTGTGATTAATATAATAGAAAAAATTGCCCAATGTACAATATAAACAAAATCAATTTCCACATTAGGAATATAAAATGTGAATAAATCACAAACATTAAAAACTGATTATTTAAGGTTACCAAGTTAAAACTGTACATGAATGAAATTGTTTCCTCAATTACCTCTTGAGGGGCTGTATGCAATCTAAAATTCATGATATTTTGTGTTACAATAATTTGCAGTTATTTGGAAAATACAGATAGTGTTCCTTTTAAAATACATTTTTCACAGAACTGCAATTTCATGGCTCATATGCAATTAGGGAAACTTTTAAGAATACACATTACAAAATATAAAAGTACCTTGACAAAACATTCATGGTTTGTGTCAAAAGGTCTTCTGTTCAAATCTCAGCCTTGAAACTAGGTATCCTGATAAATTTGTTACGGTTTTCCTCAGTCTACAGGCAGATGATGGAAGAGTATCTTAAAACAGGCCATTACCACCTCCTCTCACATCCTTATTGACTTACTAGTTATAATGATCTATTTATTTCTCACCAAATCTACTTGAGCCTTGTACCTGAACTAGTCTCATTAAATAAATAATAAAATATGTACAAACCTGTTAAGAGAGCCATAAATATCACACATAAACATCAGAGGAAATGTATAGGATTTAAATTAAAAGAACTGATCTTAGTACAGTTAAATATTTTGCAATGTAAACTTGCCTTGCTCTTCTAGTAGACTGATTAAAAAAAACAATATTCTAAGTCTCAGAAAGCAATTACTAACATCCCAATAAAAATTGGAAGCAATAATTACAGGGTCTATCAGAAAACAAAGCAGTTCAATATTGATGCTAGTTCCTCTTTCATTTGTATGTTTGTGTACAACTTCTCCTTCAGTCTTTCTTTAGTTTTATATAAAATTACACCATATTTTCACTGTTGGTTACTTTGAGTACTATTTACAATATTGATGTAATTTGTTCTCTTCTGAGATATACGCCAGTTAATACTGTGGTAACATACAATAATTTCTCTCTGTGGCGAGAGCATTCCTGAAAAATACTGCAAATATAAAGCTAATTGTAATAAGAGGGCTTATCTTCCAGATGATACATGTCAAATGTTCATACAGATGTCTAACCTTACATTAACATCTAAGAAACTCCATCACTCTGTGCCAATGCTATACTGATATCTGCCATAGTTTTCAACTGCATTCAACCAAAAATGTATAAATAAGCATGTAGAGGGATAAATGACTTTTCACTAACAAAATAACATGAGCACATGTCACAGTTCCTCTCATACACAGTATCACATTTCTATTCAATAACTGGACCAGTGGACCTACAACAAACACTTCTCCAAAACACTCATTCAGGTGACAACCACACAAGTTTTCAGCTCGTTACTTTTGTTATGAATCACAGTGGTACAAGCTTGCATAAAACGTGGCTTATTTCTGTCTCAGGAATTGACTGTATAATGACAGTTTCCATATGTACTCTTTAGTAAATATTATTAGGATAATCAAATCAAGGATGAAATATGCAGGGAATGTAGCATGCATGGGAAAGCTGAAAAATGTAAGCACTTTAGCCATGTAGGAAGAGGTGTTACAAAGGAGCTGTAATAAGGAAAAGCAACCATTGATCAGCAGGCCAATCCTTAGTTGGTGTATGTAACTATTATCTACCCTGAAAAGATATCACTAGCAATGTCTGTGGTAAGAAACTGACTCTATGACATGGACAGAATTTACACTTAGCAGTGAATTATATTCCCATTTGTTAATACCTGATAAATACTAAAGGAATTCAGTGTTTATACTTCAGAAACAGAGCAAAGGCAAACTTAGTTAATATTTTCATTATGAACAGTAAATGCATTTTTCTCTCTCTTCATCCACATCACAGTTTCGGCAATCTTTCTAGGGCTAAGAGCTCAGGCCGAGACAGTAACTAACTTGCCTATACTACAATCACAAAATTCTTTGTTACATAATATCGTCTTCCATCATCTCTTAGAACAAAAACAGATTGATAAAAGAAGTGTTAAATGTGTCTTTGTTAATTTTAAAGGCTTCCTGGAGCATGTATTCAGAAACCAAATACTGAAAATTGTAAAGTGTAATGAATCATTAATTTATATAAATTAAATCAAAACACATCTATGTTTTAGTTAAATTGGAAGTGTTAGCAGACACTGAAATTCTGCCCTGTGTATACTATGGCAAGAAACTAGCAAAACAATGCAGGGTACTCAATATCAGCAACACAAAATCAGTAACCACCTTGATCTCCAAACAGTTTCTCAATTCTTTGATTGTTAGGATTTTCATCACCAAGAGCTTCAGGGAAGTTCCTCATAATATCATCCCACATCACTTTGGCTATCAGTGGATGAGCCATCTGCAAACAAAAAAAAAACTTTGCATTGCCAACAGCTTACAGCCTCATTATAGCACTGTTAACCCCAAATTTATTTTTAAAAAACATAAATTCACATAAAATAGTACCTCCTGCAGTTAATAGATTACAGCTGCAACTATTAATGCTGCTATCCTCCACTCCTTACTCCTAGCTATATTTATGGCATGTAACATACACTTTCAGGCCTTGTGATTTAAAATCTCAAATATCTCTTATCCACAATGCATGGAAAGACTCTATATAATTAAAGTTTTGGA